CCCCCTCTGCCCAATGTGCCACTTTTATCTTTTCTTCAAGATATTGTTTGTATTGTACATTATATAGAATCTACCAATAAATTGATCACATCTGTATATTTGTGCTAATCAGTATATGACACTATTAGTAGAGTTTCGTTTTCTAGAATTTAGATTGAGAAGCATAATAATAAGATGTTTTAGTATTTCTTCTTGTGCCTCAATGAATCATCTTGAAAATGCCTAGAGCAAGTATTCACACTTCAAATAAAATTTCTAGAGTCACAGAACCACATGAAGAATCTTGTACAGAAGACAGAGATCAAACTATGGTTGAAATAGAGTGAGCAAACAAGAGTATCCACAGATCCTTAGTAAGAACAGGAGTGATAAGGGAAGTGATAAACTACTGTTAGAATTTAATTCAGGAAATGTTGTGTCCAAATCTGGTGATGGTTTGATATATTCACAAAAAATGCTGGCAATACTTCACCATATTTACCTCAAATTTTATAACATTGCTACAACTATTATTTATATTTATCCAATTTTTTCTCACTCAGATAATAAATAATTCTTCAGTTACATTTAAAAATGTAACTATCAAGTGTGAAAATGAGACAAATAAAGTAATGCCAAATCAACTTGGTATCTGATAGTGATGATTCTTACAGGTGGGGATCATAGGTAAAGTAGTAATTCTTTTTTTTTTTTTTTTAATTTTTTATTGGATTATAGGTTTTGGGGTACATGAGCAGAGCATGCAAGACAGTTGCGTAGGTACACACATGGCAGTGTGCTTTGCTTTTCTTCTCCCCTTCACCCACATTTGGCATTTCTCCCCAGGCTATCCCTCCCCACCGCTCCCTCCCACTGGCCCTAATTCTTAAACTGTTTTTGTTAACTTAATACTAATAGCAATTATTTCTAATTGCTGAAGCCATTTGTATGTTGTCACACATAGCATTAAATCAAAGTACAATCTGTTAAGCCATAATTTGAATGTGCGTTTTTCTTGTATAATCAACTGGAGATACTTTGAGTTATAATGAAGAGAATAGCTGACAATGTAGCTTAAAGCAGTAGTTCTTAAACTTTAGCATTCATCAGAACTTCAAGAGGGTTTGTGAAAACACAGAATTGTTTGTCAACCTCCAGAGTTTCTGATTCAGTAATCTAAGTTGGGGACCCAAGCATTCTGTTTTCTAAGAAATTTCTGAGGCTGCTGGTCTAGGAACTTAAATAAACAAGTATTCTGGAAGTAAGTGATTTTAGTGTTGGCCAATTCAGCAGCAAAATGGTTTTATCAGTGTCCAATGTGCTTGTCATCATTCCTGTCTTCTATTTTCATGGCTTCACCTTATTGCCATAGAATGGCTGCTGTAGCTCCATACGTCGTGTGTTCATATAGTCATTACGCAAAGTTAGGCAATGTGGATGAGTTTCTCTTCCCATTTGTCATCAAAGAAAACTTTTCTTCATAGTCTTAAACAGCCCTTTCCCATTAGCTCCCATAAACCAAGATTTGATCAATGTAATTGCCTAGCTTTAAGAGAAATAAAATAAGAATGAAGTTTAAGATTTTCCATGCCAAGTTGGCTGACAACCTTCAGTATGAAAATGACTTTCCTAGAAAAACCATAAAACACACTCATACAGTGGTGGAAAAGAGTATCCGTCGAATTAAATACACGCAAGTTTTGTAAATTCACTGCAAGCCTTATGAAATCAAGTAGCCCTAATATCTGAAAACAGAAGGGCTATGAGATAAAACAGTCATAACTGCTATTAAGTAATGTTCCACAACCTTTGGTATATTGGCTCACACCTTGAAATAGACATAAGAAATTTGGCTGGCAGCAACTCACCATATTTAACTCAAGAAGTTGACTAAATTTAAGAAAAGAGTGCTGCTATTTAGAACTGGCTACATATTTTGCAAGGTCCAGTGCAATATTAAAGTGTCGATCCCTTGTTCAAAAATTATTAAGAATTTCAAGATGGCAACAGTGGTAAACTAAGCATAGGGCTCTTCTTAAATCAGAGTACTGTGTGCTGCACAAGTCAGTCACCTATGAATTGGTCTTGCTGTTAGACCTTCTTAAGTTCCCTAAGTGCCTTCAAAAATTCCAGATTCTTATCATTTTCTTATGCATTTTCTTTCTATTTGTCTCACTCCGGTAAAGAAAGTGAGAAACATGCTACTTTTCTAAACAAAGAACCTCTTAGTTATAAATCATTCCACTCTCTAGTATGTGGCAGAAATGCAGATGACTTCGGTTTAAATAGTAACATCTTTTCATCCAACTTTGTATAGACAGACAGATGAATAAATAGATGGATGGAGTGAGTGACTCAGCAGGTAGTAAGGTTTTGTCAGTTTGAGATAACAGAGTGTGTGTGTATGAAAGGTGAAGATTTTGAACCTAGAATCAAAGAAAAAAAAACTGAGAAGATTTATCTGCATTTGAAGTGTGAATATCAATGAGGGTCATCAGTTATTCTGAGAGTTACGGAGCAGACTTTTAAAAGTTAAAGCACTCCACCTCCATGTCAAGTTCAATACAGGAGCAAATTTTATCAGTCTGGTGTCCTTGTAGCATCAAAGGAATATCCCGCCTGTTCCCACTTGCAGCACCAAGAAACAGTGCACGCTTTGGCTTTGTAGGGAAGATGAAATGCTGGCCTGATAAATCACCTGCCAATTGAATCAATGTAGACGGTAAATGTAGCTAAGTTGAGAGGGGAGGATCTGAAAGGGAAGACATTATGAGAAGAGGGATTTGGCAACTACACAAATAACACTCCTTTACTAAGTCATTCTTTGCTTTTGGGGAAATAAAAAGGTATAGCAGTGAGCTCTTTGAAGTGCATTTTTCTTCCTCTCACCACTACCTTGAATTACATCCCCGGAGGTATTATTTTTCTATAAATTCCAATTTGCATATCTAGTGGGCTTCCTTAAGATGAAGTAGCTCCTATCCACCATACCAGCTTTCTACTGTCTGTCTGTTTTTGAGAATGAATGAAACTACCCTACTTTGGTGCATCTGTTACTTCACAGAACCAAACAAAATGTTTATTATGCCATCTGAGTACTTATGATGTTCCTGACACAAATTATGAGAAAATAAATAACTTGTTAGAATATAACTCCATTGAAAAAAAAAGTAGATTTCCGTCATTTTGACTGAGTGAATGCTTTTTCATTTCAAATACGGCTAATTTTATTTGTTAAAATTTCTCTAGGAGTTGAGTTGTGTGCAGCTCCAAATTGGCAGCAGTTGAATTAAAACAGAAGTCATTGTATCTGCTATGTAGAAAAGTCAAGGCTCCCTGGACAGCTGGTGAAATTGGAGAGTCTGTCAGCTGATCAATCCACAACCACAAACAATTGTTTGGATTTGCTTTTTTGTCCCTTGATGACAAGGAAACATGAAGTTTAAAAATTCATTTTCCTTTCCTGTATGAACTTGAGACAATATTCTATAGCGATGTATAAATAACAATGTGACCATTTCTAAAACTTATTTTAATGTTTGGCATTATAGCTTTGGGGAACTCTGCAATGTTCAAGACAGAAAAATTCAGGGTATCTTAAGAATGGCTGCAGTATTCCAAATGTAAAATTGGGAAAGGTTTTAAGGTAGATTACGATTTAATCTGTTTTCTCCATGACATGGTTTAATGCCAGTACATAGAGTCTTCTTTGGGATTAAAGCAATACAAATTCTGGGAGGAATTCATGAGCTGTTCTGTGTCATGGAACCTCCAAAGGAAACCAACAGGTGGCCCTACCTTATGCTGCCTTGACACGAATACTTTTTAAACAGGTAACGGCTTGTGAATTTTTAAGATATATTGGAAATTAGGTCTAGAAAATTAGACTGAACAAACTGTTGAGCTTAGTTTCCATCCTGTAATAGCATGAGAGAGAGAAAGCTGTATTTTAGTTTTTGTTCAGAGTGAGGATTTTGAAAGACATCATTAAGTGATTTGAATGATTTTTTAAGAGATGTCATTCAAGAAACACTCTTTGAATATGCAACAAAAATGACATTGATTTTGTAGAAATGAATTAATTCTTATCCTTAAAGATCTAGCTGGGAATAGAAACATATATAAAAAAAGAATGAGAAGTACATCAACTTTGAAATTACTAAATTATGCAAACTGAGAAGTAGTTCTAGACTAGTACTAAGTAGAAGAAACTACAAAGAATGTAACAAAATTATCTTTAACTTCAGAAAAAATGTCAATATTAGGGAAATAAGAGAAAAAAATGCTCACTGTAAAAAGAAACCTACACAACTGGGAAAAACAAAGATGATCTAGAGAAATATAACCTATAGATTAGGGACAGCTTTACTGTAGTATGATTCCATAGGTAAAAGCTGTTGACAGAAAGTCAAGCACTGAAACATGAATTAACTGATTTACACAATGGTTTCAAAATTTCCACATCAAAAAGAGGAAAAAAATACATATACAGTAGATATTTACATTAAAAAATATGTTCTAGCCAAATTAAAAAATCTTTAGAGAATCTTTCTTACATATGCACTTATAAGTGCTTGTAGTTTATAACATAAAAGCATGATCTTAAGAAAAATTACACTAAAATCTCACAGGCTTTTCCTTATACTATCTTCTTGACTTCTCCAAATTTTATGAAAGGGCCAATGTGTCTGTAGAGAGAATTACTTGTTTCTCATTCTGTAGACTTAAATTGGATTTAATCGTCACTTATATATAACACATCCCTTTCCCCTTCATCCCTCCACCACACACATACTCTAAATTTAATTAAAATAACTGAAATGAAACTAGAGATAATTTGTTTTTTAAATAGACTGCCACATGCTCCATTTACATAAAACCCATTAGTTTGCATTAAATACAAATTAGCTGCTGATATGAATTAAATCACGTATAAATAGTTCAGAATAGCCGCAGAACCAGGCATTTTAATTAATATAACTGTTAACCAGATTTATTTGTAAGGTAATCAAGACTCTTACTCATTTATTCTTCGGTACAATAGGCCAGGCAACACTGGCTGTCCCAGAACAGGCCATCGTTTCTACATGAATACAAATCCAGGAGGAAGATTGATTAGATTCTCAGACTTCAAAGTGTGCAAATGATCAAAGCTTGCCACTTTAAAAATGATGACACCTTGGATGAAGAAACCTCAAATAATTAACTCATATTTATGCAGTTTACTGATCACCTGAAATTCCCAAATTTTTGTCCTCCTTCCATATTAGTCATGCTTTAATTTAAAATAAGATAAAGTACGAAATAATTTCCTTTGTTACTATTCCTATTTTGACTTTTTCATGCATCACTAATAAGTATATTTCAAATTTAATAACAACTTTCCAGACCAATTAGAATTTAGAGTGTAGCAAAAGTGCCTTATCCAGACTCTTTTTGTTACAAGTAACTGAACCTCAAAGTGACTTGATACACATAGATTCACATATATAGGTGCGCAGAAATGAAAACAGACAGGCTGACTTCATGCACAGCTGGGCCCAAAGCTCTAATTGGATCACCAGAATAACTGTGGCTCTTACCATGTCTAGGACCATTTTCTTCTATGGCTTCTATTCTTTGGCAGGCCCTGTTGTCATGGTGGAAAAATAGCTTCCCAGCTGCTTCTAGCTAAATACAGGCTCTCAGCCACCCCAATTCTTTCCCAATCATTTCAATGAACTTCTGTAAAATGAGTTGTATTTACCTAGATCAGTTATGTCTCTGCCTACAGCAATCACTATGGAAAAGAGAACAGAGTGGTCTGATTGGTGTGAGTTACATGCTCACCTCAACCTGGGACAAAGGCCAGCCCCATATGAATCACAGGAATTAAGAGTATGGGTGGAATGTTTTAATAAAATATAAAGTTTATTGTTTTCCTAGATAAGGGTGGAGGAGGGATATTGACATGGCGATACAAAAAAGGAACAGCTATCCATTATGGTGTTGTAATTCTAGCTTTGATGCTAAACTGCCACCCTTCTTCAGTCATCTCATTTGGGCACTGATTTATCAATCACTGAAAAAATCAAAGGTACACAATCAATATTCACCTGCAAAAAATCCCTGATGCAAGCAGCCACAGGACTTGTATTCAGCAAACAATGAACCAAGATATGAAAAGCCTTCATCAGCCTTAAATCATGCTGTTGGACGTACAATGTTAAAATATGAATGCTACATTATGTGTGCATTCTGATGGAAGGTTAGAGAGGATTAATGAGACAGGTTTAATTGACTGTAACAAAAAGTCCTGGGCATTTGTGAAAGAAAAATATCACTTAAGTCATAATATTAAAAATTTGACATAAAAAAGCAGCATCTCCTTTTAGCTGATGCACCTAGGGAATTGCTTATATTTTTTGCGCATTTCAATAACAATATTTCATTCCTTCGTATCTTATTTTTCACCGTCTTAAATTTTACATAACGTGTGACAACTGCTGACATCCAAAAGAACTGGCACAGTTAACCTTTTACATGCTAGGAATCATTTCAGTAATTTGATGACATCTATGGACACCATAGGACCCTTCTAAAAATATTTCAAATGCAAAAGAAAATAAATTTCATAAAATGCAAAAGCCAATTATATTGAAATAAAATTATTTAAAAGGTGTGAAATTGTAATACATTAATATATATGCTTCTGCAGTAACACATTAAAGAAAAAGCAGTATCACTGGAGCACTGTGGCTGATATTTTGAGATTCTATAACTCCAATATGATATGAAAATATCTAATATTTCAAAAGGGGAAAATGTCACAAGAACTACTAATACTAATGTGGTTTGTAGCCTATATTCACGACGGAAGGAAATGTAAATTTCAGTTCAAGGTTACTGAAAATAAAGATGTAAATTTTCCCATCCTTATACATGGACTTCTGCCAAAGGACATTTTGTCATGACTTGAGAGGGGGAAAAAAAAACCTTCAAATCATGTAATAAGGCATGCTATCCATCAGTTTTTGGACCTTATTGTAATATTTTTATTCATCTCTAGTTGATTTTCTGCCATATTTTCACAGGAGCAATTCCAAACTTTATTACCCATTTCTATCCCAATTTTTTTTCTCTGTGTGGCTAACTTCGCCTCCTACATTACTTAAAGAATGAAAGCAAGCTGTCATTAGTTCCCTTCATTTACACTCTAAAAAGTTTTTGAATATTCTTCATTCCACCATTTTTCTTTGTCTTATCAATTGCCGGAAACTTATGCCTGATGATTATTGGGCACTTAATGAGAAAAGCCAAGAAACATAAAGAAAAGAAGAAACATTATAGCAGCCCTGTAGCTAGGCCTCCTCAAAACAGAAAGATGCTATTAAGGATGAAATAGAAGCTCTTGCTTGAAACCCTGGTCCTGAGTATGCAGGAGTCTCACATTCTCTCATGGAAGATAATGAGCATGGTTCCTGGGTGTGGAACTGTGACAATTCATTATCTAAAGATAGAATATGAGAAAGATGGCATAATCCAACTCTGTTGGGCACCACACAGAATAAAAAGCAGAAACTCATTTGGGTGGTATACAATAGGATCACACAAAAAAGATTGGCTTCGACCTCCCAACATCCTGCTTCTCTGAGGTTATACCACCATACAGCACAGAACATGTTCCAGGAGTATTTCTTCCTGCCTAATACTGTCGATGGGGAATGTTGTTCTCATCATCAAGAAGTTCATTTTTTCTCTCTTTTTTCCAAGAGTATTGATTTTATCATCATAGAGAATGGTTTTGCTTTATACCCATTTTTGCTGAGATATATGTACTCCCCAAGCAAAAAGCCTAGGGACCTTTAGATGGAAAAGGAATAGAATGAGATAATCATGTTCAGAATTATGATTACCACTACGGTCCTTTGTTACTTTAGTTTCCTGGTTCTAAAGACAGGCTTAAGAAAGTCTGATAATTTATCAAAATTCTTGCCAAAGATTCCTTCTATAAATAAAAAGTTTGCTGAGGGTTATCAATCATAAAAATGTTAAGCCCATTTTCCAATGTGATTTAACTGCTATTAAAATACCTGTTTCTCTTAAGTGGCTCTGCTATGGGGAAAGTGATATGAGGTGTTTCCTCTCCTTCTATGGAAACAGTAAGTATGGTATTTCATAATGAAAGGGGTCACCACCTGCTTAAGGGATGGATGCCTGAAGTTTAGCTCCTTGAGAAGCAGGCATTCCTTGCTCACTACTCCAGAGTTCCATAGTTAAGGTGACTCAGCTGTTCTCTATATTTGCTTCTACTGCTGCCTCTACCCAGCAACCTTAGTCCAACTACCCTTTTTTCAATTTTATGCCTCTTACTTGAGGTGGGAGATCTACCACCTACCTGATTTTACTGCATCTGTCTTCTAATCACAAGCACTCCACTGGCTTGTTCCATCCTCAAAACTTTACTCCTGCCAGCTATGGCGTCCATCTCTTTTTTTTAATTGCATTTTAGGTTTTGGGATACATGTGCAGAACATGCAAGATAGTTGCATAGGTACACACATGGCATTCTATCTTTATATCTCACATTCAGACATTCTCAAGGAAGTTGGTATGTTGGGTCAATCAATCACACTTAGTTTAGGGAATGTTTGCTTGTTAGAACTCTAGGACCAGGATACTCCGTAATCTTCTAAGATGTTTTTGCAGTCAAATTGCTGATCCAAATGTGAGTTGACAGAGTGATGGAGTGAAGTGGCGGCGCAAAGCACAGCACCAGAGCACAAAAAGCACTAGGGTTGGCTAAGGAGTAAGACAAACTCTAGATATTATACTTCCCTGATGTTTCAGGGGCCAAAGTGTGCTACGTCCTCTCCAATGCTTGCAGATTTCCATGCCCACACTTAAGGGGTGTATGTCTTCCCAAGCATTTGTTTTCTATTAAAATGAGAAAGATTCATTTTCCAAATGAGTCTCTTACATGGCCCCTTCTAGGGATTCACATCACTTGCTCTGTTATTTCACCTCAGTTATTTCAATATTGATATTGTCCCATCCTGATTTAAGACAATATAGGGGCTTTGGGAAATAATTAGGTTAATTATTAAACTGGCATTTTGTTTCAATTGTTTTTTTGTGTTTGTTTTTCATTTCAGAACAGTGACTCTTATCTCTCATTTAAGTTTTTATTTATTTAAAATATTTGAACATTTCACTCTGGTGCTGTGCTGCTCTGTGTTCAGACCACATGAAAAGATACAAACCCATTAGAACCAGAGATGATCTCTTATTCATCACGTTGATCCCCAGTGTCTAGTATCATGTCAGATACATGGAAAATGAACAATAAATATTCCATGAATGAAAATAAGCCTATGCAAAAATGAATTAGGATGGAAGCCTGGCAACAAAGCTGAATACAAACAACTTGTCTGCAATTTGGGATTATCCACCTAAGTAGGATATGTCCACTTAGTTATGTGGTTTTTGTTTTATCAGAGATAGACTTGCATATTCAGCTATGCAGATATATCTATGTGTGAATCCATATGTCATTAGTTCTTGAAGATACACTTTTCCCATCTCTACTTTCTATGCAAAGTACACTGGAAATATCTTTGATATAGAACAGAAGCATTCTTTCTTAACTAGCTGAAATAAATTCTACCTGTGGGTAGAGTAATTTTATTTTTTATATACAAATGAGGAAAATTTAGTTATATGTGTATGTATACATACACATATATGCGGATATCAGAAAAGGAAAGGATTAGAAGTACTAAAGAACATGAATATAACATTGACACAGGAAAATAAATTAGCTTCTGTTTCTGATGTTTACATAATGTGCTATGTAGTGCCAGAGTAATACATTTTCTACTGTGTGTAAGCAGAGGTAGCAGGGTGCTGTATCAATAAAGAGATAGAGGCAGGAGGCAGTGCCTAGAAAACTTAATCCCTTCACAACCAACTGACCTTATGAGTCAGAAGGAAATCAGTCCAGTTACATAAAACATTGGCAGAGCATGTAATAACTGAAGTGGCACTAATAGTGAAATACAGCAAATGCTCCAAGTCCTTTTAATGTAAAAAAGAAGTCAAGCT